CTGCTGTGGTTTCACCCTCAAAACAATAGTGTTCTCTGAGCTCTCGGGTCTCGGAGGTCGGACTCTCGCGCGCCAGGGCTGTAGTTTTACGCTGGAAACCCTGCATCCTCAGACTCCTGGTCCTTCCCGAAATTGGGCCGTGGGTGCAGGGCTGCGCCGTGTGAGTCTGGGTGACGTCTAAGAGGGTTTGGATTGAGCTCATTCCGCTAACCTCGTATTTCTTCAAACTCTGTCTTTTCTGGGGACGTTCAGCTTTTCTGGTACGTCAGGCTAGTTGTACAGCTGGTAAACATTTTGTTTTTATGAATATGTATTAGTGGTTTTAATTAATGCAGCAGGAGAGCTCCTGACAACTGTGACATTCATAGCCGTCCCTGTGCAGCTCCTGATATTTTCCAGAGCCCTCTCCCTCACATCCACGCAGCTCTGTGTACCTGAAATTCACCTTGGGATTTCTGCACGAGCTAGGGGACCTTCCGAGGTTTCTGCAAAGTCATGCTTTCAATATAAAATGACATAAGGACTTCAAGGAAGAAAACAAGCCTAAGCCCAAGCATTAGTCTCTCAACTCAAAAGCTAATTCCTTTGCTCTGTTCGGCCAGTATAAATCCCTTCATGCATATGAGGTCTTTATGGATCAAAGTGATGGAGACTTTTGCATAAGGAATTCCTGAGAGCCTGGTGGTCTGCTTCATTTAATTAAAAAAAAAAAAACATTTTGCTTATAGCACTGGGTAATCATGGCTTCAGATCATTAATTTGTAGAGAAGCCATGTATCTCCTCATCTTCCACATCAAATAAACAGTTGTTTGTTTCTGTTTCATTAGACTTTGGTTAGAGTTACCTTAGCAAAGAAGCCTGTGGATACCCAGACAGTGGCGAGATCTCCGTCCATATTTATAATATGGAACCTGGTGCCTCCCTGGCCTCTATTCCTTCAGGTGCATGTCTCCAGAGTGGGATGTTGTCACCCACTTACAGGTTAACTTAAAACATAGTACTGAGCGCACCTAGATACATTACAGCAGACACCTCCGTTTATTTTCCTGCCCCCTGTTCCAACTTGTATTACATATGCTCCTCCCTGAACTCAAAATAGGTCAAGATATTGCTGACACCTGTGCCCCCCAGAGCAGGGTTGCAGAGACAACATGCCTGGGAGAGAGCAGTCACAGAAAACCATGCAGGAAGAGTGAGAAGAAAAGCCGTTAAAGAGGTGTGCTTAAGCAAAATTGATTCATACGGACTCAGAGCAAGAGACCAGTGTTTCCCTTTTACATTCCCAGAAGGCCCGTAAGCCAGAAATGAGACAACTGTGTTTTGGGAACATAAGTTAATATATTTCGTAACTGGAAATTGTTAGCAAAATACTGTTTTCAGACTGAAGCTGCCCTGTAAAGTGTTTGTGCTGCCCTTTGGGGTGGTCTGTGCACACTCCGTTCTCTGGTTGGCATTCTCCTGGTGCCCTTTTCCACCGCTCACTTTTGGACCCGCTTTACCCAACGGTGTGTGGCTAATGTTCTTTCGTGCATCTCCATTCAGGGTTGTTCTTTTTTTTCACCTGCACCACGTGGCGTGTGGGATCTTCGTTCCCCAACCAGGGATCAAGCCCACACCCCCTGCATTGGAAATGCAGAGTCTTAGCCACTGGACTGCCAGGGAAGTCCCATGGGGTTGTTCTTTTTTTTCCCCTGGGTTTTTAGACCTTTAGTTTGAACACTAACGTTTTCCTCTTTGAGTTAAAACATAGGCAGGATTCTTAGCCAAGAAAATTATTGTCCCTTGAGTTTTTAAATTGGTGTGTGGAAACACAGAGAATACTCGATTGCTGTCCCAAACATGTATGGTCTTCCCTATGAAACTACTCTGCCCGTCTCAGTCACCTTGAGAGGCAGGTGAGGAGCCGTGATAGCAGTAAACGCTTCATCTTTGCTCCCTCCTTCGTACATTCGCTCTCTCCCGCCCCACCCTGCATGAGATGCCCCTCCCTTCCTCCCCACAGGTGTTAATTCCCTGGAATCTCCTTCCTTCGTGAAGTCTCAAGCATGGCTGTCCCCTTTGACTTGAGGTTACTATGGTCTCTGCTCCATCACTTTGACACTTGGACATATGCTTTCTCTGAGTGATTCTCCAAGGGTTCCAGGTAGGCGTCTCTTCTTCTGGTGAGCTGTAAGTCCTCTGGGAGCTGATCTCATTCTGGCACATTCCCCATAAAGATGAGGCTAGGAAATAAGAGCGTGCCCAATTGAGGTTTTTGAATCTGGACCTTCCAGCTCATCTCATGCTGTTCCAGGAGATAATATTTCAGTGGATTCACTAGATCAAGTGAAATGTGTCACTTTTCTATGGGTACTTAAGTTGGCTAGCACCAGCCCATTGGACAGGCCTCCTGTCTCTCTCTTCTCTCTTCTGTGGGACAGGGGCCATGCTGGACACCAGAGACAGCCTGGGGAACAAAACAGACTGACGGTCGAGTGGGGAGACAGGCTGTGGGTACAGTCAAGTGGGTGTGTAATTACACATCGTAGTCAAGGCTGAGAAGCAAAAGTAGAAGGACCGTGGGGACAGTTACAGGTGGGGACTTTAGATTGGCTGGGGGAGGTCTCCCCAGGAAGATGGTTTTAGGCTAGACCCGAAAAATGAGAAGAGGGCAGAGAGCTCACAAAGAGCAGTCAGGCCAAGTGGACACGGTGTGTGAGTTCCTGAGGCAGGAAGTGGTGGAGCCTTTAAGGAAGACAAAGGAGGTGGGTGGGCTGCAGGGTGGGAGCTCAGGGACCACACTGAGGGGTCGGGGGGAAGGGGGTGTTAGAGACTGAGTCAGATGCTTGCAGGCCTTGTAGTGGGAAGATCCACCCTGGAGAATGTGTCTGGAGGAGGAGGATGCTGTTGTGGTCCTCTAGGAGAGAGGCCTGGATGAGGAGGAAAAACGTGGATGTGAATTTCAGAAGTCTTTTGGGAGTAGAAGCAGGAACACTGGGTTGTGGTCCGAATGGGGAAGGAAGGAAGGAAAGAAGAAAGTGAGCCTAAGAGCAAGTCCTCTGAGGCTGGATTTGCTAAGAGCCTGGCAGACTGGATTCTGGAGCATGGGGAACACAAGGTTTGCTTTGTGGATTTCAATTATTCAACTCAAATCCCCTACCCTTTAAAAAGAATCTCTCCCTGAGGGCAAAAGGACTTGGGGCTGCAGGCTCAACAGAAACGTGTCTGAATTGGGGCAGGACCTAGGCGGCACAGCTGTGCTTCTGCTCAGTTAACTTGAATACTGACTAGAGGACACAGGCTTTGTCCTGAACATCACATCTGGAGATGAAACTAGGCTTTTGTTTGTTGTTAGTTTGAGAACAAGGTGAGAAATATTTGTGT